TATTCTATCAGAAGCCACTGGATACATACACAGAAATAAAATTTAAATAATTTTAAAGTAAACTTAGCCTAAGAAAATGGAAGACATCCTTCCTTCATTTCAATAAGCCCCTAAAACACCTATATCCTCTCAAGGAAAAAAGGCTTGTGTCTTGAGATAAGTATTGAAAAAGGCGTTCTTCTATGAATAAGAGGTAGAATACAAAGCAGCAGTCAGGAAAGCCATCCTGAGACAGAGCAAGCACACAACCTTCATGCAGCAAGAGCTTTCAAGTCAGGAAGATCTGGATTCCCATTCAAATAAGTCAATTGTTACATTTCACCTCTGAGTTTATTAGCTTTCTTATCAGCAAAATGGGAACACTATTACCTCTATCAATTGATTCTTATGGGGTCTTACTAAAGAATGCATCTGAAAGTGTCTCACGTTATGCTGGTGTCCAATACATGTCTTGCCCTCCCTCACTGTGCCCTCAGGAGAGTCTTTGAGATTGGGATCCCAACAGAAGAGCAGCTCTTGACGTCCTGTTCATTTCATGCCAGAGAGATCGACACAGTCCAATACAGCAGTTCACTAGCCACATATGGATATTTGAGGTTAATTTTAATTACAATTATATAAAACTCAAACTCTACTTCCTCAGATGGCTGACAGTAGCCAGCGATCAAGCACTCACAAGGCACTTGTGGCCAGCAGCTACTACACTAAATAATGCAGATGGAGAACGTTTTCATCATCTCAAAGTGCTATTACGTATGTCTAGTCTAGATTCTTCACGACCCAGATAATCACGATGGTATGATCACGCACACTCACCTAGAGCCAGACATCCTGGAATGTGAAGTCAAGCGGGCCTCAGGAAGTATCACTATGAACAAAGCTAGTGCAGGTGATAGAATTTCAGTTGAGCTATTTCAAATCCTAAAAGATGAAGCTGGGAAAGTGCTGCACTCAATATGTCAGAAAATTTGGAAAACTCGGCAGTGGCCACAGAACTGGAAAAGGTCAGTTTTCATTCCAATCCCAAAAAAAGGCAATGCCAAAGAATGCTTAAACTACCGCACAATTGTACTCATCTCACATGCTAGTAAAGTAATGTTCAAAATTCTCCAAGCCAGGCTTCAGCAATACGTGAACTGTGAACTTCCAGATGTTCAAGCTGGTTTTAGAAAAGGCAGAGGAACCAGAGATCAAATTGCCAATATCCGCTGGATCATCAAAAAAGCAAGAGAGTTCCAGAAAAACATCTATTTCTGCTTTATTGACTATGCCAAAGCCTTTGACTGTGTGGATCACAATAAACTGTGGAAAATTCTGAAAGAGATGGGAATACCAGACCACCTGACCTGCCTCTTGAGAAACCT